CTTGACTGTGGATAAACTGGGCAGAGGTGCTCTTAAAGCAGAATCCGTACTGCAGAAATAATCCAGGTTGATACCTCTTGAACTGCCATGGCTCAATGCTATGGAATTCAGGGAACTGTAGCTTTGTGAGACATTTAGTCTTCCCTGTCTGGTACCACCACAGACTACAAATCCCAGAATTTCCTAGCATTAAACCATGGCAGCTCAAGTGGTGTCAACCTGGATTATTTCTGCAGTGCAGATGCAGCCTATATGAACCAAACTTTGCAAAGGGAAATTTTGTTCAGGTGGAAGGGGAGGTTGCTTTGGATATATCCTGCGTTGCATTGCCTATGTTTACAGTCCTTACCTGTTGAATTTATGAAGAAGTGCCTGCAAAATGCACAGCGAGATACAAATATACAAGGAAACTCAGATGGAAGAAGTCACAGTTATGCCCTGTAGTAGATTCAATAGACTCTGCGGGTCCAGTACTTTGGATGCAGAGATAAGGGTTGTTTGGAAATCATTGAGTGTCCAGCATGCCTTGCCGTTGCCATCCTCTGAGGCTGAGAGAATGTGACTTGCTGAAGGTCACCCAGTGGGTCTTTATGCTTGAGTGAGGAATCGAATCCTGATCTTCAGAGTCATAGTCCAGCTCTCAAATCACTACGCCATGCATAAACACATGCCCAGAATTAAAGCCATTTAAAATTTCATTACAAGATAGAGGATAAAAAATCAACAAGACAGAAAAGCTAATTAAAAGCCAATTGCTATCAAGATAATGATAACGATGATGATGATGATGATGATGATGATGATGATGATATTAATAGTAGTAGTAGTATTGCTGTAATGTTTATCGATGTTAACCACCTTGAAAATCTTAGAGAATGAGAAAGAGCGAGGTGAGGTTTTAAAAGCAGCAGCAAGTCTACAAATACAGGTGAAACTTATCCCAACAATTTGTCCTGTCCTTTTTTTAATAATAATAATAATAATAATTTTTATTGAACACATCAAAACACAGATTTTAAAAAAAAAAAGACACACAAACATACATACATACCAACATATTACTAATATTTTTCTGAGTTCTATTCTTATTCAGATACAATTGGTATTGATGGTCTTTCAGTTGCTCTCTTTCATACTTTATCCTTCTACCTTATACCCTGCTTTCTGCCCCTTCTACATTCCCATTCTTAAATGGTTTCTTCTATCTATCATTTACCTTCTTAATTTTCCTCCTTTCTACTTCTTCCCCTTCCTTCTTATCTATCTTCCTAGTTCCCATTTGCCCCCTCTCCTATGGGAAAAGAGAAACAAAACAAAAAGGAGATAGGAATAAACTAAGAACCGTGAACACAACAGTACAATGGCTAGTGCACAAAGATACGGAAAATTACTACAATGACCAATGCAGAGAAATAGAAGACAACAACAAAAAGGGAAGAATGAGAGACCTATTCCATAAGATTCGAGAAATCAAGGGAAAGTTCAAACCAAGGACCGGGACGCTCTACGACAATAAAAAATCCCAGAGGTTCAAGCAGGGTTCAGGAAAGGAAGTGGCACCATGGATCACATTGCAAATATATGATGGCCAATGGAGTGTAGCAGGGAGTTCCAAAATAAAATCAGCATGTGCTTTATAGACTATAGCAAGGCCTTTGACTGCATAGACTATGAAAGGTTATGGAACACCCTTAAAGGCATGATGGGAATGCCAAAACATCTGAGAGTCCTGATAAGGAATCTCCACTCAGGACAAGAGGCTACTGTCAGAACAGAACAAGAACAAACAGAATGGCTCCTGATTGGCAAAGGAGTCAAACAAGGCTGTATGCTTTCACCCGATATGTTCAACTTGTATGCAGAACATATTATAAGAAAAGCAGGCTTGGACACAGAAGAAGGAGGAGTGAAAATAGGAGGAAGGAACATCAACAATCTAAGATATGCAGATGACACCATAATACTAGCAGAAAATCTCACAGATCTGGAACACCTAGGGCCTCGGCAGACGGCTAATTGAGCTGTCTCCGAGGCCAGGAAGAGGAGGAGCAGCCGCATGCGCGGCGCTCCTTCCTCTCCCTGAGGTTGTCCTCAGAGCCGCACGGCCGGCACTCCGGGGGCAACCTCCCGCCGCAGCGACCGGAC